AAAAAGGGCATAACTCTAGAACGGTAAATGACTCACTGCTAAAATTCAAATTCTGTCTGTGTGTTGTGGTTTTTAGCATTGTGTATGAGTTTCATTAAATTTGCACGAGGCAAACTTAAGTTAGAGTGAAGGCAAGATGGATGGACAGAAAGACGGACGCTCAAGGATAGAATTATAATGACTTACTACCAAAATTCGAACTCTGTCTGCGTGTTGGGTTTCTAAGCATTGTGTACGAGTTTCATAAAATTTGGATGGGTAAAACATAAGTTAGAGTACTGAAACAAAAATGGGGCGTACAGAAAAAAGGAAGGACGGACAAAATAAAAAAAAGAAACAAAAACAAAATTAAAGAACCTTTGTATGCATGCTCACATAAACTCATAACCCCTAAAAAAGTCAACTAATAAAAATGTCTTATAGATATGTTCATCTGCATATTATGTCCTCATTAACTTCAAAGTTTCATGAAATTCTATTGTGTGGTTTCAGAGGAGTTACGATGATAAACTGTTGCAGTAGTATATCTAAAATTAGAAGTTCAAAGGGGCATAATTCCTAGAAACAAAATTGAATCAAAAGTTCCTTTCTATTTGCACATCAACATATACCTGGGAACAGTATATCTAACGGGAAATGAATCTGATACGCTTTTCAGTATAAAATTGATAAAATCTCGGACTCCCCGAGACTTCCCAAGATTTACGGATTTTGGTAGCGTCTGACTGAAAAACTATCAGAACTGCTCAACAAATAAACCACATAACTCTAATTGTAAATAAATACAAGTTTTATCATTTAGTAGATATATTTTGTCATATAAAATTACCAAAATAAGTTTGATTTATTTGATGTGAAGTGTTTTATAATAGTTTGGGAATTTGTAAATCATCGCGGCAATGGCCGCCATTTTTTTATTACCTGGTTTGCATTCTGCACAATTCTGTGATGAAATGCTTGCGATTTTAACAAATTTGAAGTGACAGAATACAAGTTTGATACACTAGCATCACTATAAAACTAGTTTGAATGACATTTAATTGATAATATCAGAAATTATTAGGATAATAGCGAGTCCGTTTTTAACACATGTCCGTTTCTGTATCGTATCTTTATTAACTATGGCACGACGATAAAATCGACTACAATCAGGTAGTGTCAAGTCCCGTCAATATATATGTTCCTGCATATACATAGTAATAGTATGTCTTTATTATCTACAAAGTATCATGAACTCTTTTGTGTGGTTTCAGAGGAGTTGTGATGACAAACTGTTGCAGTAGTATATTTAAAATTCTAAGTTCAAAGGGGCTTAACTCCTAGAAAAACTAGAGGCTCTAAAGAGCATGTGTCACTCACCTTGGTCTATGTGCATATTCAACAAAGGACACTCTCCAACATTGTAGACAAGAATAGAATTCATGACAAAAATCTCTTGTTTTGTTGATCTTGTATTGCTGATCATTTTCTCTGTTTAGTTTCTCTCTATCTTCTTTAGTTTTTGCTAAAAACACTAAAGAGAGTAAAAAAATCCTCATTTAAGGACAATCACTCCTACAAAGAGTGACAGTCTACTAACTATATTGACAAAATTAAGTGATTGTAAAATTCATCATTAAAGGGAAATTACTCCAATAAGGAGTTGTTGGACGATTTCCTCAATAATTATCTTAATTGTAGATCTTGTCTTGCTGATCATTGTTGCTTATTTAAGTTTTTATCTATCTATTATAATTTTTAAGATATAAGGCAAAAACACAGCAAGAGGCTCATGAGAGCCAGATATCGCTCACCTGGCTATAATTTCAGTTTCAGGCATTTGACTTATTTGTAGATCTTACTTTGCTGAACAATTTTGTCATTTACACTTTCTCTCTTTCTATAATACATTTAATATTAAAGATAATACATATCCCAAAACTGTAAAATTTCCTAAAAATTAACTATTTCTGGACAGTAAACCCAACAATAAGTTGTCCTATTGGTCTGAAGATTACTTAACAGGTAGATCTAAAACTGTTTAACACTTTCACATATGTCAATTTTGCTCTTACTGCTTTAGTTTTTGAGATGAAAGCCAAAAACTTCATTTGACCCCCATGTTCTATTTTTAGAAACTGCCTCCATGTTTTTGAATGGATCAAATCCCCGAATACAATCTATAAACTAGATACCCTAAGGAACATTCAATTAAAGTTTTTAAGTATTTGGCAAAGTAGTTTCAGAGAAGAAAGATTTTTGAAAAAGTAATTGAATTTTTTTCAAAAAATGTTAAAAAAAAAAACGTTTTAAGGGCAATAACTCCTCAAGGGGTCAATTGACTATTTTGATCATGTTGACTTATTTGTAGATTTTACTTAGCTGAACATTTATTGCCATTTATACTTTCTCTCTATCTATTATAATAATAAAGTAAATAACCAAAAACAGTAAAATTTAATAAAAATAAACTATTTCCAACAGTAAATGTCACCCAACAATGGGTTGTCGAACTCGTCTGAAAATTTCATGACAGATAGATCATGACCCATTTATCACTTTAACTCCTTTCACTTTTGATCTAACTGCTGTAGTTTTTGAGATATAAGCCAAAAACTGCTTTTGTCCCCTATGTTATATTTTTAGCCATGGCGGCCATGTTTGTTGATTGATCAAAACTTCGGAAATAATTCATAAACTAGATACCCTAAGGAGCATTCAATTAAAGTTTGGAAGTATTTGGCAAAGTAGTTTCAGAGAAGAAGATTTTTGAAAAAGTAATAGACTTACACAAAAAAATGTAAAAAACAAACTGTTCAAGGGCAATAACTCCTTAAGGAGTCAATTGACTATTTTGATCATTTGACTTAATTGTAGATCTTACTTAGCTGAACATTTTTGCTATTTACACTTTCTCTCTATCTATTATAATATTAAAGATAATAACCAAAAACAGTAAAATTTCATAAAAATAAACTATTTCTGACAGTAACTCTACAATGGGTGGTCCAATTGGTCTGAAAATTTCATAGCAGAAATATTTGGCCCAGTAGTTTCAGAGGAGAAGATTTTTATAAAAGTTAACAGACGACAGCTGATGCCAGACGCCAAGTGATGAGAAAAGCTCACTTGGCCCTTTGCGCCAGGTGAGCTAAAAATTGAATCATAATTTCCTGTTGATATGCACATCTACATAGTATGTTCTTTTTATCTACAAAGTTTCATGAAATTTTGTTGTGCGGTTTCAGAGGAGTTGCGATGACAAAAACAGGACAGATGACTGATTGACGGACGGACGGGTCATCTAAACCATAGCCTGTCCTGTAAAAATATGTATATGCTGAAATACAAACACTGACGGACAGGGCTACTATAAAATCACTAAGGTTGTGTTGAACATACTGGGAACAAAGCCTGACTGACAGGACTACCATAAAATCACTAAGGTTGTGTTGAACATACTGGGAACAAAGCCTGACTGACAGGGCTACCATAAAATCACTAAGGTTATGTTGAACATACTGGGAACAAAGCCTGACTGACAGGACTACCATAAAATCACTAAGGTTGTGTTGAACATACTGGGAACAAAGCCTGACTGACAGGACTACCATAAAATCACTAAGGTTGTGTTGAACATACTGGGAACAAAGCCTGACTGACAGGACTACCATAAAATCACTAAGGTTGTGTTGAACATACTGGGAACAAAGCCTGACTGACAGGGCTACCATAAAATCACTAAGGTTGTGTTGAACATACTGGGAACAAAGCCTGACTGACAATTCTAAGCTGTTTGTACTTAACATATGTTTTTATCATACCACAGAAAAATTAAAACTTGAAAGTACTTAGTGAAAATAATTACTAAACTGTAAATTACAGCTTTAAGATAACAGAAAATCTATAATATCTGCACAAACATTCCTTATATGATTTAAACATGTATTATAACATGTTAAAGTTCTAATATGAAATATTACTGTTTTATTCTCTGTAAAATGGTTAAATACTGCTTGAGATAACATAGAATTAATATTCTGCTATGAACTCCCAAGAAACAATCGTTATGGAATATGATAGATCTTTTTTCTTATGTATCAAGAATTCAATACCATTCAATATTACTGAAATTGCAAAGATCAAATTTTCAACATAAAAATTAGATTTATTTATGCATTTTTAATTTAGTTTACTTGATAGTGATCTTCAACTGTCCAACGAATGCCTTGGAGGTATCAAAATTTTGATATAGTTTATTAACTAATAGGGCAAAGAACATAAGGGTTTTTTATTCATAAATTTTATATAACTTAAAACAACAATGGATCATTAATGGTTTGACTGCACAGAATGTTTCTACAACAATGGACAATTTTCTATAATGAATACATCAATGTATAAAAGTATAAAAAGGAATAACTGATAAAAATCGGTAAATAAGTCTTTAATGGGAGGTAAACAATTTCAATGGGTGAGCAAACTTTGAGTTAAGGATCTGGTTTAAAAACTGTAGGAGTTCATTACACAAAATTAGTATCATCTTTTGACAAGTTTTCTGAACATAAACATGTTCCAAAGTCTGTAATAATGGAAAAATTCCCCATTCAATTCCTTATTAGCAGGTACACAACTTCAATAAACATATGTAAATGAAATCTTTCCATCTGTTTCAAAGATCTGGGTTGAAAACTGTAGGAGAAGTTGATTTCACAAACTTTGTATCATCTTCTGAAATTTTACTGAAAAAATTAAAGTTTCAAAGTCAGAGATATAAGGGAAAATTGCTCAAATAGCAGGTGCACAATTGCAATTATAACCCCTCACAAACAGCAGGTGCACAATTGCGATAATATCCGCTCAAGTAAATTTGAATTTTAAAGAAGATCAGAATAAAAAACAAGACAAATGCAAAGATAAAACCTTGTTGTCAGGTTTGGTCCTAGAAACCACAAAACTCCTCAACAATAAACTACATTACAGTAAGTGTGATTAAATATCTTAAAGACAAATTAACAAACCTGGTTTTCCTTTTGATTTGGAAATCAATTGCTTCCTTTTCCTGATAATCTGACACATTAAACTTTTCCGGAGTCAAATCTTTTATTGTTATTTCTTCTCTTTTCAACAAGCAATCATCACTAAAAAAGAAACAAAATTTGCTAGGTTATTTCTCTACTGGTGAATTTATTACTTTTAGCACCCTATCATCTTTTGTTAGAATCAATACATGTGATCAATCGATTGCGCAATATTATTTTTCAATCAAGATTTGTACAGGTTGGACAAAAGTATGAAATTGACATCAATTCACAGTATGAAACCATATCCAACAATGATAGGTAAAAATCTTTTCTCATTAAAAACACCTTGATTGCAATTTCTTTGAAATCAGAAAATGATCTATGTAACATCTACACCAATTGTTTCTCAATAAATTTATAAATTTATGCATGAATTTTCAAAAAACAGTGTTGAAAAATGATAATGACAAACTAATGTAAAAATGTATCAATTGTAATTCTTTATGTCTGTATCACAATTTCCTTTTTCTAAGGTCAAAGTAACCAAATGGCATTTATATCAGATAGCTTTGACAGTATAATAGGTTTTATATTTAGGAAATCAGTAAAAGGAATTAGGCACATCATATTTTTAAACAAAAGTGCAGTGGAAGGTAAATAGTAAGAACTGATTCTTAAAGAACAAATTAAATACACTAACTCATTTAACAACTGTTAAGGAATAGTTTAATTAACAAATGGGAACACATGGAAAATATCATGGCTCTATCAATTCCACTTATTTTTCACATGCTCCATATGCTCTATGTTGATTGTAACAATGTCATGATTGGGTAAACTTCAGCAAAAAACTCGAAAGTTAATTATCTTGCGATCAACAATCACTGATTGAAATATCATTTGTCGATAATACATTATTGCCAATGAGACAACTATCCAACAAAGTTCAAATGAAGTGGATGAAAGCAATTATAGGCAACCTTACGACCTTCAACAATGAGATAAACCCATACCTTTTAGTTGGCTATAAAAGGCCCAGACATGAAAAATTCGTAAGGGTTCCGCGGAACCCAGTGTCTCGCCTACTTTTGCTGTTAATCACAGGCTCAACAAAAATGAGGAAAAAAATTAATAAAAATATTCCTCTCTATACTATCTTTTGATTGTAAGTAGCTTCTGTCCAAGTTTGGTAAAAATCCAGGATAGTTTATGAATCTAATAAATGTTTTAAAAACTTAAACTGAAGACTGTATGTAATGTTAACTGGAAGAAAAACTAAGTCCATTTATAAGTAAAACACGGCAAAAATGGAACAAAATTTTAACAAAATTTCCTTCTAGATACTAGCTTTTAATCATAAACAAGCTTCTGTCCAAGTTTGGTACAAATCCAGGATAGTTTAAGAAAGTTGTTAAAATTTTAAAAACTTTAACCACAGAGTGAATGTAATGTTAACTGGCAGAAAAACTAAGTCCATTTATAAGTAAAATACGGAAAAAATGGAATTTTTTTTTTACAAAATTTACTTCTGGATACTATCTTATGATCATAAACAAGGTTCTTTCCAAGTTTGGTAGAAATCCAGGATAGTTTAAGAAAGTTATTAAAATTTCAAAAACTTTAACCACAGAGTGAATGTAATGTTTCCTGGCAGAAAAACTAAGTCCATTTATAAGTAAAATACGGAAAAAATGGAATTTTTTTTTTACAAAATTTACTTCTGGATACTATCTTATGATCATAAACAAGCTTCTGTCCAAGTTTGGTAGAAATCCAGGATAGTTTAAGAAAGTTATTAAAATTTCAAAAACTTTAACCACAGAGTGAATATTTGTAGACGCCGCCGACAACAACGACAACGACGGAATGTAGGATCGCTATGTCTGTCTTTTTCGACAAAAGTCGAAGGCTCGACAAAAATATGAAACAATTCAATTGAGAAAACTTAAACGGCCTAATTTATAACAAAACAATTTACGAAAAAACAAATATGACAGACATGAACCAACGACAACCACTGAACTACAGGCTCCTGACTTGGGACAGGCACATAAAGAATGTGACGGGGTTAAACATGTTTGTGATTGCTCAACCCTCCCATAACCTGGGACCATGACTACCAAAACGGTCATATATTCCGGACATTTATAAATTTACCAGACATTGTCCATCTGGGAAAAGCATGAAACGGACATCTACTTTTAGTTTTCAAGGCTTTCTTAAGAGACGGTCATTTTAACATAATTCAAAAAAAAATTGGAAGTTTATGCGATCTTTTTGACCCGACCTTAAACAGCCACACATTTCCGGTCATAAAAGTGACATGATGAATAAGTACTATCAAAACAAACCCTACTTTAATACCTTCTCATTTTAATCAAGATTAATTAGTTGTCGGACAGCTGAAATTTACCTGTTCAGGCAACAGGCAAACTATTTTGTACTGGACATTGATAGGTCTATTCAAAGTTGTTTTCCTACATTTCAGCGGTTTGCATCTAATTAATTTAGTCAAAAAGATTGAAATTATCAGAAATACGTTTATAAATATGATTTGATGAAAAATTTAAAAAGGTTTTAAACAAAAAATCGTCAGAACCATGTTGTTTGAACTAGTACACGTGTGCGCATGTGCGCAGCTGTGAAATTTAATTATGCATGCTAATTCTTCAAAAATGCTAAAATTATCATTACCAATTTAACACTGTAATTAGATCTTCGAATATTGTTTCTATTGGTAAAAATATTGATTTTGTTTTCAGTAAATTAAAATAATACTAAATAGTATTGTTATACATATATCCACAAAATTGATCTTAAATTAGCAATAACAAAAGGTAATGTTCACTGCTATTCAGAACTATCTACATGCAGTCAGATTTTGCTCTTACTACTTTTGGTAACTTTGGATCCTCAATATTATGCAATGTAACATGTGTTTCTTAAATCAAACTTAAAGCTTAAATCATGTCTAGATAAAAAAGAAATAATTCATTTCAATTAATCATCAAAATATGAATGACATGGGTAAATAATTTAAACAGGTATTGTAAATATGACATCAGGAATCTGTGATTAAAACATTGCACCACATAATAGTCAATTTATCAATTCCTTAATTGACCCTGTAATTAGAGATCCATTTTGTGAGTTGTTTCCCTTAAGAGGGACCTAACTTTTCATTGACAATGAAAAGCTAGCTAAGAAAAGAGCAAATTTATGTGTTTATAATCTTTATGTTTTTTTTGTTAAACAAAAAATGTTTAATTTCATATCAATAATCATTCTCCATTAAACATTGGTTGAAATGCCCTTAAATCACTTTCAGCTTATCAAGCATTGCCCATTTTGTCTGGTATAGAACCAGTCTACAATAAATAAAGGGAAACAACTTAAAAGTGTGTAATAACATAATCAATCAAAGTACTGAAGTACTGAACATCGGATGACCGCAAGTTCTTGTGGGTGGTCACAAGCACTTGTCTCAGAAAAAAATCACATCTCTATACCTGAAAGTGAGGTTAATGTACAGAGATATATTTTTTTCTGAGACAAGTTCGTGCGTGGATGATGAATAAATGACAGGGATTTCAACATCACCATACTAACTATTATATTGTAGTGATACAAATCAGTATACTCTGGTTTGTTGTTTTATATTATATTAATATTTGTTTATAACAGTTACATGTATATATAATTTTCATCTATTTGTATATCATTCTATTCTACTATTCTAATAATAGTGCAGTGCAAGTGCCTAGTGGACACTCTTCTGTAATAATTCGATTTTTCTAATAGATTGGATTTGAGTAGGCATTCATATTTTCCCGCAAAATGTTCTTGAGATATTCTTCCGCATGCGTTAACACAATTTTTCTGTACGTGTGCATAGATATTAATGATTTTTTACTTATATATATATTTCTAACGACAAAAAATTTTCCTATTATTAATTTATGTTCTAAAAAAAATTTTTTTATGAGTATTCATTGAAGAAATGAATTTATAACAAGCGATAAGGAATGTTATTTTGCACTCGATAATGTCCGCGTATTTATAGATCGGTTACCAGTCAAAAACGAAAGTTACTTAAGTAGAAATCTCTGTGGCAACAATACATCGGAATGCCCTCACGGTCGTCGCGATGTAAAAAGGATATTGGCAAACAGACTTTGGTTGATAAACATTATGTAATAATTTACAGTTATAGAAGTGAAAAGTAACACTTTTATATATTCCCTATTAGACTAAACTTTTCAACAAGAGGCTCCAAGAGCCTGAATCTCTCACCTGGTAAAAAATATGCCATTTTGATATTTATTTTTTCCCTTTATTGCAATAAGTAATGTTAGCCTATTTAGTGGCATATTTGTAGGTCTTGTATTGATGATATTCTTACCGTTTACAGTTTATGATTCTTTATACCTATCTATTAAAGTTCTAAGACAAAAGTCATTTTATGACAATAAATCCTATAAATAGTGTAATAATTTGGCCATGTTGACTTACTTGTACATTATATTTTGCTGACCTTTTTTTCTTTTTAAAAAGTTTTTCTCTCATGACAGTGACAGATGTGGAGAAGGATCTTCGTACAGTTCCAGAGTACCTGAAATCACTCCTAGTTTCTGGTGGGGTTTGTGTTGCCTAGTTCTTATTTATTTTTGTTGTGTCTTGTATGTTGTTTATCTTTTTATGTTTTTTTTTACCATGGTGCTGTCAGTTTCTCTTGACATGAGTTTTGAATGTAAGAGTATATCCCCTTGATAATCGTCCACCTCTTTTTTCAAAACATATTCCATGTAAAAGTATGAAAATTGTGAAATATGTGGAATAGCAGAATATGATTCTGTAAGTATGTGTTCATTGCTGTATTATATTCCTATAGACAAGTCATCACTTCCTGTCAAAGAAATTTCCAGTTTACTATTTTATATGGTTTATTTCAAATGACAAATTAAACCTAGATACCTGATATTGACCTAGACTATTATTGTTCTCTTATATGTGTGCTACCTCATTTTCTCGCTTTAGGCAAGTTTGTGTAGTGAAATTGTTCTTCAGTCTGCCGAAATTACTTGCCCTGTTCATGCCTAATTTCCTGCCAAATTATT